GCTGCCGCTGAGGGGCTCCGCGGCCGGCGCAAAGGGGCTGTAAATAAGCGCTTGTGTGTGTGTGTCTGTGTCCTCTCGGGTGTGCGGCTGGCTCCGGGACCCTGGCGTAAGGAACTTCTTCTCCGGCTTCTGTACGTGCTAGGAGTTAGTACGCCTCAGTGTTGCCGCAGAGGATGCGACGTGTCTTTTGGGGCGAGCGAGCCCCGCTTCGGGCCTGAAATGGAGGCAGCAGGCTTCGGAGCTGAGCGCGTCATGAGAGCAATTGCTGAGAGGCTAACTAGAGACGTGGCGGGAGGGAAACGCTGACTTGTCGATGGGGAACGTCTGTTGCAAAACAGTTCCTCAGTTTCTGATCTCTCGGTCTGACCTCCAGAAGGTTTTGTCCTTGATGTGCTTTAAGGATTATTTTTTGGGTGCATAACCTGTGGAAGTGAGAAGAAATGTGTTGGCATAGGTGCTGGCTTTCTGGCCTGCTGTCGTCTCCCCACCAGTCACGGGCAGCAAACACTTGTGGGTGCTGGGGTTTGGGTTGGTGTTTTCCTTCCCCTAGTGTTGGCTATGGGTTCTCTCAGAGACGGGTAGCTACTACGGGCTGGCCATAGCTGGGGTTCAGCTAGATCCTGCCTTGTTCTCAGCTCCATGCTTTCCAGCCTGGAGAACACGTTGGGAATCCTGTCTCCTCCCAGCAGTGCCACTGAGGCCTGTTTGGGATCTCTCCCACCTGCAAGACTTCCTGTTGGCAGACCCAGAGTGTCACGAGTGCCACCCTTCCATGGGTCACCAGTCAGCAGCCCGGCACTTCCCTTTGGCAAACAAGATCTGCTTAGTGGGACGTGCTGACTGGTGGTTGGACTTCCCAGCCAAGGGTACTGAGAAACAGGTAGAGGTCTTCACTGCCAGGTTTTGTGAGACTGGCTCTCCAGTCCCACGCTCTTCTTTTGGGTTTCACTTTTGATTTCCTGAAGGCTCAAGTTCCTCACAAGTTATTGGAATATGGAAATGATCAAGGAAAGTGGTTCTGGTGTCAGTGCAGATTGAGAGAAAAGGAGGTTGCAGTGACTCACGGTTTCTGGTAGCCACTCCCCTAAAGCCGTTGCAGAGCCTGCTGAAATTCTTGTTTACAGGAGTTCACAGTACTGAACAGTGTTGCCAGAAGTCATGAACAAGTTCTTACTGTGATTACTAGTGATCCCTGACGGTGGCAATTCTTTATTAAAAGGTCATATTTTAAACTAAAAGTAGTAACTGGTGTGATGATGACGAAGGAGCAAGCCAGGTGGCTCCTTGGTGGCAGTGACAAACTCTTGGGTCTCTGAGCCTTTGATTCGGGGAAGGGGGCTGTAAAGTGGCAAGATAATCTGCTGGAGTGTCATCTTATGTGATCTGAGAACTATTGCATAATTAGCTTTGCTAATACTGTTCTGAAGAAAGTGCCATGTTCCTCTTTGTAAACTAGAGGAAGGTTGAGGTTGCCTGTCTGTGGCAATTATCACTGGTAATGACGTGAGGAGTGGGACGGGTCTGTGGAGGAGAACTAACGCTGCCTGAGTTGTAAACACGCTGGGGTTTGTGGCATCAAAGTTGGTCACTGGGACAAGGGACCCATCAGCCCTGCGCTGTGCTGCTGTGTGGATGTCAAGAGATCACTGCAAAATGATGCTCCTGTGCCCATCATCACTCTGAAAGAAAAAAGGTGGTCAAGAAGGCCAGCAGCATCCTGGCATGTATCAGTAGTGTGGCCAAGGACCATCCCTTGTACTTGGCACTGGTAAGGCCACACCTCAGTTAGTGGGTTCAGTTTTGGGCTGCTCACTATAAGAGTGACATTGAGGTGCTGGATTGTGTGCAGAGAAGGGTGATGAAGCTGGTGAAGAGTCTAGGGAACAAGTCCTGTGAGGAGTGGCTGAAGGACCTTGGGTTGTTTAGCCTGGAGCAAAGGAAGCTCCAGGCTCTCCACAGCTCCCTGAAAGGAGGTTGTAACCAGTTGGGGGTCAGCCTCTTCTCCAAAGGAACAAGTGTTAGGACAAGAAGAAATGGCCTCAGGTTGCACCAGGGAACGTTTAGCTTGGATATTGGGAATTTTTTTTTTCCCTGCAAGGGTTGTCAAGGCTTGGCCCAGGCCCTGGAAGGGTTTCCAAGCCGTGGAGATGTGGTGCTGCGGGTCGTGGGTTAGTGGTGCCCTGACAGTGCTGGGGTAACAGCTGGACTGACGATCTGAAAGGTCTCTTCCAACTGAAACAATTCCACAATTTTATGAAGCAGGACGACTCCTCGGGGAACACGGCGTCCTTGGCCTGGCCTCTTTTCCTGCCTGGGCACTGCAGTGGGTGTGCTTAATGTGTGCCAGTGCGTGGACCAGCACTGGGACGTGCTGGGGCAGCTGTAACCTGGAAGTAGATGGTGACCACTGGTGTTAGCAGCAGAATGCAGCACTTACCCAAGTGAGGTGTTTGCTGGGCTTGGCCTTCCATTTGCTATTGCCCATTTTGGATGGAAGCACTTGATTGTTTCAGGTCAATCCAGAATTTTAAGTGGCTTTCAATGTGTATGCTTAATTTATAAAGCTTCCGGGCTTCAATTTTGGTCTGCTTGCAACGATCAGTCAAACAGGTCAGTGGCAAGTAATTATGACAATATAACTGGCCCTGTGTTTGCTCTTTAGATCACTGTCACCTTTTAGGGCATGTTTTCTTGAAGTTTTAATTGCAGTCTGACATGATACTGGAGCTGTTGAGCACTCTGCTGACCAAAGAGAAAAGCTGTGGATGAGCTTAATGCAATATGAAGAGATGTCTATTGTGTTACTACAATGTCCCATTAGGCTTCAGTGTGTGTCTTTTGAAGAAATCAACTTAATATCTACACTTAGAGAAGCAGTAGCTCAAGGATTTATGCAGTGGTCACTTCTACTTGGGGATTTTTCCTAAATTATTACCCAAATAAAGATCTCTTGTTCAGATGAGAGAACAAATCCTTACACTGAAAAATCAGCTCTGAATAGAACTGCTTCTTGTTCTCTGTCTTGTATAACTCACAGAACAGTATCAAGTGTTGGTTGTCTTCTTTCTGTCTCCCTCCCATGAATAAAATGTTCCCAGATGTTGGTGCAAAGTGTTTTATTATGGTTTGGAAAAGTTCAGCTGCCCTCAGTGAGAATGTGAGTGAAGGAGCTCTGGAAAATGAGATTTCCCAAAGCCTCAGGTGCCCAGCTCTGGGCAGAGCCGAGTGTCAGGTGGTGCATTAGAGGATCATGTGAAGTGGGGTTTTTTTGGTTTGTTTTCACTTGAATTTTTTCCTTGGCTTTCTTTTGTTGCATTACTTCCTGGTGAGTTGTCACAGGGCTCTT